GCTAGAAGATCTATTAGATCCCTTCCGACCCTAAATCTATGAAACTATGAAAAATAACTTTGATATATACACACACACTGAATATAGTAACACCCCTAAAGATGATTGGATTTAATAGTAAACATTGTTCAACAGAACAAGTATCCAAGGTCAAGGCTTTAAGACTGTGATATTCACAAAATGATTATTATACTGCAGCACAGTGCCTTACATTGAAGATAACCACTGTTCATAAGAAGTACTAATATCACAGGATATTCTCAGTTAACAAACTTCTTTTGGAAAGATCATTACCATAAAACATTTGACAAGTCACTGGCTTAGTACTTGAGTGTTAGAGGTGCACATGTTGATTTTTTTTTTTTTTTTTTTTTTTTTTTTTTTTTTTTTATAATTAGTGATGCATACTGTTGGGATATTGTCAGGGTAGAAAACAGTTTTATTTGTATCTTGATCTTACAGGAAGTCTACAATTATGGTGCTTACATGAAAAGGACAACCTAATTGAGGGTTTCCAAAATTAAGCAACTTAAAACCTTGTAAATATCAATTAGAGTAACTTAACCTTTGTTTGATTATTTTGTAAGGCTGAAAGTGAATTACAGAGAGCTTCAATGGATGCAACCCGAACAAGTCGGCAGTTAGAGGAAACCATTGACAATTTTGAGAAGCAGAAAATAAAGGACATAAAGGTATATGTTTATGTAAATTTGTAAATATTATTCACATTTCAGTTTTAGGATGTTATTTTTCAGGCTGCATGCTGAAATAATTCTTGTTGCTTGTTTGACAAATTAGATACTACCAGCTGTTCTTTTGGCTAGTTATGTATAAACTGGTGCAAATACTGTGATAGTCACAACTGTTACAATGCTCAACTATTATAGAAGTTGCACACACACAAGATCAGCTAATTATTTGTGCAGCTTCATTTAGATAGTTTTTAACCGTCTTACTAACAAGAAGTTATCTCTTCTTTGCACTTTTAAACAGCTGCTACATTCCATCCCATAGACAGCTGAATTTGTGGGTAGAATGACATGACCACTCTGTATCAACATGCCTGAATAACAGCAGTAGTTATAAGGAGGCAGGATATAGTTACCCAAATTGGAATGCAGGTCAGGTAATAGGATTAAGTCCCCTCCTGTTACAAGACATGTTATTGGATCTTTAGACTGCGAGTGGTCAAAGGTTTGTCTTCTTTGAGTAATAAAGCACGAGTAAAGGAAGCTCATAATTTATAAGTAACTGAACGTTGAATCTATGACCTCAAATTTTACTGATGTTTCTAAACTGGTGTACTTTATCATTCTTTCTTATTTGGCCTAGGCATTACATTTAATAATAATAGTAAAAAGGAGACCAATGATGACACAAGTAGAGCAGTTTGGATGAGAATCATTCCATGAAGGCTGGAGATTATTATTCAAGAGTGGGGAGGGTTTTTACAGTGTATATTAACACTGTTCAGACCATGGAATGCAATGCAAATTCTTCCTACACAAGTTTGAAGAACATTCAGGCTTAAATCTTTAAAATATTTAAATGAGAACTATGTTCTTATATGGGCATTATGTTTCTACTGGGCAAATTGCTGCTTCTCCTGCAGAAATTGCCAGAGTACAGGTGTTCATTCACTTTCTCCTGGAGGAAACTTGTGCCATACAGCAGAAAGATCTTTTGCATTGGCACCCCTGTGAGTTTCCTCCCACAAGAATGCATACCTGTAATGCTAGACTCCTCTGTGCTCAGAAGAAGTTGAGCTGCTGCAGGCCTCCCAAGCCTTCACAAGATCAGGGGGTTCTGGGGACCATGTGGGGGAACACTGCCCTGCTACTCCCTCCCCTACCAGAAACTGGGAGGAGAAAAGCAGCAGCTGTTGCAGGGTGATGCCTGTTTGGGGAAGGTATGGGAAATCTTTCCCAACTGCTCCACAACCTGCCAGGAACAGAAAAGAGTGGAGCAGCTGCTATTCTCCATGCCTTCCCCAGATTGGGATCATTGTCCTTGGGAAAGGCACAGGTGGCAAGGAAGAAGGGGGTAGCTGCAGGTTGAAATGCCTGTACTCCTCTCTCCCCCTTTCCAGATTTCTAGCACTGGACATCTCCCATAACTTTCTAGCCCCAGAAATGAAAGCATGCTCATATCCTATATAAAAATTAGCCCATGCTTGATCTCATAATGTTGTCAAGGGCAAGAGTATATTGTGCAATTTTATTTATTAGCTTCTCATGTTTCTTCATTGCCTGCCAATATCACTAGTAGAGTGTTTGCTAAGAATTGAATGTGGAGCAGCATAGATAGCAGCTTGACAAATTTTATTTATACTTATTAACCCCCTAACAAACTTTAGTCCAAATATATAGAACTTTAATATAGGAAAAATCCATTAAGCTATTTTGATGTTTCTGACATTACAGATGTAATTCTCTTAAAATTTTTATGCATTTGAAGCAAAAACTCTCTTTCATGTAAGAAATTGGTATAGCTCTATGCAAATAAATCCTTTGCTTAAATTTGTTTTTAGGATATATTTTCTGAATTTGTAACTATCGAAATGTTATTCCATGGAAAAGCTTTAGAAATTTATACTGCTGCCTACCAAAGTATACAAAACATTGATGAAAATGAAGATTTAGAGGTAAGGCCATTAAGACTTTAAATAATTTATGCGTAGGACCCAGTTGTACACTACTGATCTACCAATGGTGGCTAAATTGGAAAATGCAAAGGATATCATACAAGTCCTCATGACACTCTTAACTTTCTACTTCAGCATCAACTTTTCTTGGACCTTAGCTAAAGTGAAGAATGCTCTGCTATCAAACAGTAGATATTTAAAGATTGTTACCAAATTACACCTTAATCTTCTCTTTGAGACTTCTTCAGTCTCTCTCTCGCTCTTGCAGTGGTTTTCAAAGGGTGTGCCAGGGCATGTGCCACAAAACTTATACTTTTATTACTTTTGTATCTGGCCTATGGAGCAAGTCATCCAGCCTGTGGGGCTCCCCACAGGTCCAGAATTTTGGTGGCTTGCTCACAAACAGGGAAGAATTGATGGGTAACGTAGTAGTGGATGGCAACTTGGACAACAGTAGGGAAAGGGAGGATGGAGAGCAGCTGACTACGGACTCTGGACGTCAGAAAAGCCGACTTTGACTCACTCAGGAAACTCATGGGCAGGATCCCCTAGGAAACCAGTTTGAGGGGAAGAGGAGTCCAGGAGAGCTGGCTGTACTTGAAAGAAGCCTGCCGAGGGTGCAGGAACAAACCATCCCAATGTGCAGGAAGACTAGCAAGTATGGCAGAAGACCAGCTTGGCTTAGCAGGGTCGTAAATCACAAAAAAGAAGCTTATAAGAAGTGGGAACCTGGACAAATAAATAGGAGTATAGTAGAAGGAGCAACAGTCTCAAGTTGCAGCAAGGGAAGTTTAGGTTAGATATTAGGAAAATTTTTCTCACTAGAAGGGTAGTAAAACACTGGAACAGGTTTTCTAGAGGTAGTGGTATCTCCATCCTTGGAAGGTTAAGACCTGGCTAAACAGCAGTGGCTGGGATGATTTAGTTGGAGATGGTCCTGCTTTGAGCAGGGGATTGGGCTAGATGACCTCCTGAGGTGCCTTCCAGACTTAATTTTATATGATTCTATGATTCACGCATATATACCTTTTTGGGTGCAAGAGTGAAGCTTGCCTCCAATATTAATCCAGAAAAAGTATGTCCTAGGTATCAAAAGTTTTGGAGACACTGCTCTAAGACATATTTTCCAATTTCTTAACAATTCTTGTGAATCTTCTGCCAGATATATAACCTACCTATTATTTCTTGATCTTTTCAGGGGCTGCATTTGCCTTTTTAGCCACAACATCTTGCTAGGACCTCATGTTCAGCTGATTGTCTATCATGTGCCCCATATCACAACAGAGAAATTAGTAACAGTTTTTTCCCCCCATTATTTGTATTAAACAGTGTTACTCTTTTGGACTCAGGCTGTCCTCTGTCATGGCACTAAATTCACTGATTTTTCATCTGAACAGGTTTTTCGGAGTTCACTCCATCCACCAGACTATCAGTCTCGTTTAGATATAGTCCGTGCAAATTCAAAGTCTCCCCTTCAGAGAAACAGCTCACTAAAATTTTCATCTGGAATGGTACAGGTAAGATAGAAAGCATCTCTGTTGGGCACTGTCAGCTGAGGGCATTTTACCTTCAAACAATTTATCCCAGGAGATTAGAATGACACTGTTTGTCTCATGTGCTTTCTGTGATGAAAGCTAAGGAATGCCAGTCCTACAAGCAGAAGGTTCAGAGAAGGAATGATGTAAGTAAGCACATGCATATGGAGGGGAGGGAGTGTTTCTAGCAGGGTCTGGTACCTACATGTTCAGTGAATATCTTTGTTCCCTGTCTTGTGCCTAGAAACAGTGATTGTCCCATTTAAATTTACTAAAATTTGCATGCAATATTAAATGTACACTGCCTTTAACTATTATTAAAAGAGGAAACAACATGCATGAAAGTTCTGCCAATACATGGTTAATAAACAGAAAAATGGTCAGTATAGAATCCCAACCACCTTGTAGGAAACAAACTGCCCCTTATTGTATACAAGAGGTGGAGAAGACTTCTACACTTAATCTTAAATATTTCATTTTAGAACTAGCTGAATCAGAATGACTTTAGGAAGTGCAAGTGGACTCCTTACCAAGAAAGAATAAAATACAGAATTTGGGTAAAACAGAATTGTCTGTATTCTTGAGTATAATAAGAATGCATTTCACTCAGTGATAAACGCATCTAAACAGGCAGAATATCTAGCTTGACTGAACCAGGTCTAAAAATTCACTGTAACATGGCAAAAAAGGAATTAAGATGTCTTATAAACAAACTCCCCCCCCAAACACTCTAATATAGAATACAGTGTTAGAATTCTTAATTCTTTCAAAAGCTGTAATACTAAAATATTTTAAGACTGTTATGAAGGTTAAGCAAAATTAAAAACTTTGGATTTCATGGGATAGTGTAATTTTGGAAGGTTGCCTTGCTGCTTTCCACACTTTGGATGCATGTATGCATTATTTTTGCCTGAAGTAAGTCACTCACTTTTTTCATCATTCTTTATGGAGCACCCACACCGTCATCCCTGCCCCGTGAAACAAGAGCACCATAACTGTCACCTCCTCATTCAGAGGAAACTATGGTATACACCTTAATCAGTGGTTCTCAATCATTGTAGATTTGAAGCACCCCTCATTAAACCCAAAACACCCCTCCATAACTTTTGTGAATTGAGTGGCACCCCATTTTAAAAGCTAATATACTTATTACAGTGCTTACCTTCTTGCAGAGGAGCAAGGCAGTGGGGGGGGGGAAAGGAATGGTCAAATAAGGATGGTCCTGAGCCCGCACTCATCTGCTGATCTCCTTGCATATCGCAGGACACCCCAGAGTGCTAAGGCACCTTGGTTGAGAATTATTGCCGTGGGTAAGAGAGCATTAGCATTCCACTGATGTGCTTGAGGTAGTAGTTCCTAAATCATCAGGGCTTTCAAGGCAAGCATGACATTTGCAGTTGAATGTATGGGGCTCTCAGCCCTATTTAGGGTAGCAACTTCTAACTTGGGAATTGCACTAAGTAAAACAAGAAGTAACTATGACCTTCCTCAATCATATTCCTACAAATTTATACTACTGTTACTTAGACCATGATTCATACTTTCACAAGATAATCCTTAGCACAGTCCTCTTGATCTGTTGCATGAAAAAGGACTTGATGCTCCTTGCCCCATATATCCTTGCCTTGCATTCAGAGTTGAGCAAGGGAAGTAAGATGTGTGAACACTCCACAGGCATTACCATATTAAGTACACTGTCAGCATCTCTCAAAAGTATGTTTTGATAACTTTCAAAGAACTTAAGTTGCAGGTGAAGATTCCCTCCCCCACACCTTCCTTTTGTGTAAAAGGACTTAATTCCACCTACAAGACAACTGCCCACATAAGAGCTTCTTACACATTTTGCAAATTTAATGACCATCTAATTTTTTACAAATTCAGCACTATCCATTTTCACTTGCATTTTTTTCACTTGTGATCCTTAGCAAGCTCTTGTCACGCTCCTCACTTACTAGAACTAGGGCTTTCCTGATTACATTCTGCTGATTCAAAATATTTTTCAAATGTTAATCAATTACTTTTAAATCGGTCTCAGTTTATAGTGTTTATATCAATCCGTTTAGCATATTAAGTCAGAAACTGGTCCACCTGAGCTGCACTGAGAAACAGGCCAAAATTGAGGAAGCTAAAAGTAGCTTTAGGCCACTTTTGCATCCCCTTATGGAACACAATTTCACCTCAGAAACTGCTCTTACCATACCTTCTTGCATATAATGTAATTTCAGGCAGCTGGTTTTTGGAAGAAAAACCATATCTTGTATGCAAGATAGTAAATCTGTGACCACTGTTTTCTCTTTCTCTAGTGATTCAGTGCTGCTGTGCCTAATACCATTCAAGTCACCTACAAACACCCTGTTGTGCTTATCTAGTAGGCAGCAAACCTAATGCTTTACTTTCTTGTCCTGTACTTCTGTACAATAAGGTTTTTTTCGCCACCCTCTAAACATGCTCTGTGTCTTGAAACAGGAGAGCTAGGTAGGTGGCTGTTTCAGCAGGCAGATTAGCCTGTGGGGAACTAAGCCTGCAGTGCTCCTGAAACCAGCACTTACCAGTAAATGCTGGCACAGATGTTTCTTTATCCTTCATTGAAGAGCTTTAGTCATATTACCTTAGTCTGGCTTCCTAGCAATACATACCAAAACCAGGCTGCCCCGTGCATTTGTAAGTTTGTTTGTTTTAACTGTGCCGTGGTTAGTATATTTACTCTGATCCACTTCCACTTCCTCTGCTTCCACAATTTAAATTCTGCGCTCCTGCTTATTAAAAGCTGCCAACTGTTACTTAGACTTGTAAGTAAAAGGAAACATCCTACTTAAACTTATGAAAGGGCAGATTTATTGAAGAGCTTGAGTGCAGGGGTAAAGAGAAACAGTCACCACTTTTTAGTTAGGGTTTAACTAGCTCTGCAACTCACTTGTAATACAAAAGTGTGTTGTTATGTCAGGGGCAAGAAATTATTTGGGCCTGTGGGCCACAAGCAGTTCTGGGGATTGCTGAGCCGGTCAGCATCCCCCCCAACAGCCCAAAGCCCACATGCTCTATTGACCCTCTCCGCCACTGCCAACAGTGCACAGCCCCAGCCCTGACCCACCCTGCACCTGCTCCAGACTCACCCCAGCTGGAGTGAACCAGACAGAACTTGTGCATACAGCCCTGACCCCAGCCCATCCGCCCACGCTGAGCAGCTCACCCTGCAGCTCCTCTGCTGGTATCATCACTGCCTCTGGGCCTCTCAGCAGTGGTGCAGAGGAGCCTAGGCATGGGCTCTGGGCAGCTGTAACAGTGAAGGGGAACCTTTCCTCCATGCCTAGCAGCATCTTCTGCCGCTGCTCAGCATGGGCGGGCAGCATGGAGCAGGCACAGGGCAGGCCAGTGTTAGGGTATACATGCCGGTCCCTGCCAATACTACAGGGCTGGGGCCAGTGGCAGTGGAAGCCAGGAGCTACCACCACCTGGGCTGTCTAGGAAAGCCAGCCAGCTGCAGAGCTGCCCCAGTCCCGCTGTGTGTCCAGGGGAGAGCAGAATGCACCACAGGCTGATGGCGCCTGAGCCAGGCCAAACCAAGAGACCAAGTGGGCCAGATAGTCCTTCCACAAGTCATATTTTGCCCACTGTATATCCTGTGAAGGTGGAAAATACTATTTTCATGAACTATTGGTGAACATTTTTCTGATTTATGAAACTAACTTAGTGGTTTTATCTTAACTGTATGAAGTTTTCATAACTTGTAAACCATTTATTTTTCTTCATAAAATATTAATCTTAAACTGTGTATATAGTACACCATAAACATAATAGGTATGTATTATTCATCTAGTTAGTGCATGAGCCAAAAATCTGAAATAAATCCTTTTTAAAAATAATCATAACTTCCCTTCTAGACAAGCTACAATACCTTACCCTATTTAGCTTAGCAATTGAAACCCCCTCAAATCCCTGCCATCTTTGAGTATCCACCCAAGTCTTATTTCTTCTGCAGGAACTATTGCAACTTCTTTGTTATCTCACACAATTGAAAAAGCCACAGAAGGTGAAGAACAAATCTCTAAATATAAAAAGAATTCAAAAAATTGCTCCTAAATATTTAAACTCCAATAAGCTGGAAATTTAACTTTGTCCAGTTATTAAACCTATATTTTCTGTTAATTTCCACTTTCAAAGATTTCTGACAAAGTTATAAGTTTTTTTCTCCATTTTAAGATGGTACATAAAGCCTGTAAGCAAAAGCTTTGATTTAAAAGTTTCAACAAGACAAGGAAAAGGTTTTGCTAGCTTTTATAGCTTAGATATTTACTTTTAATCATTCATTTTATTTGGCTACACTTGGCATACAGATGCACACAATAAAATTTGAAGTAATGTTTGTGTTTGCATACAAGATAAAGATTTCTAGATTATGTTTTTCACTTGGACGTGTAATAGAGTGCAAGCTGATCAAGTTCTTTTATCTTCAACACAAAAGGGATTTTGTGCATACAGATTAATGCGAGGAAATAATACATAAAGAACTTAGTTGAATTGTTTCCCAACCGCACTGTAAGCCAGGGGTAGGCTGGAGGAACACTCAGGGAGTTTTGGTGAGCTGTTGCAGGCTTGGTCAGTACCCATTTCTCCCCTGCACCAATTCACCAAAATTCCCCAAGTGGTAGACTACCAGACCCAGCCGGGGCAGCGGATGAAGCAGATGCACAGGGAGCGGTGTCCGGAGCAGGGTGGGCAGGGCTGGAATCACAGGGTGGTGACAGCATGGGGCTAGGGCAGAGCTACAATCTGGTTCCCACACTGTCACTGTCCTGCACTGCTGGCCCCGACACCAGCCACTCATCCTGCTCCTGGACACCACTCCCTGCTCACACACTGGTCTAGGTAAGTCTCTATGGAGACCCCACCCACTCTTAGTCTGGTGCCCCTGGTGGTGGGTGCAGGGCAGACAGGCTGGGGTATGCAGGTAGCAGGGCCAGGTCCAGCAGCAGCTGGAGGAGCCACTATTAATGGGGCTGCTGGGAAGCTGAGTCCAGAATGCCCCTGCTGCAGCCAAGGACAGGGTTGGACTGGCCACATGCACCACAGCAGGCTTCTCCCTATGCCTGGGTCCATGCAAGGCCAAGGGATCTGCCACAGACCAGATAAAATCCTCCTGTGGGCCATATCTTGCCCACCCCTGCTATAAACTAAAACTTTTATATTAACGGGAATCCATTTTAAACTTATTCCTCAGGGTGTTTGGTTTTTTTTTTAAATATATGACTTAGTAGGCACTGGAAAAAGAAAAACTTCCTAAGGTCTTCATGCTTCTACATATATAGCAGAACTTTAAAAACTATTCTAACAGTATGTTTCAGTATGAAATTTTATAATGATATTGTTAGCTTAATTCCCTTCAAACAAATACAACATAGCAGGAGCTTTGGTTAAACTGAATTGTTGCCACAAACAATGCAAAATAAAAAAGATTCTTTAGTTCTCACATTTCTTATAGGTATGCTGTCAAATTGAATTTGGATTGCTTTGCCAACTTGTGGAATAAATAAAGCTGTGTTGCAACAGGTATCAGTCAGTTTCTAATTTTATTTTTTTGAAGATAAGCCACAAAAAAAAAAACCACACTTAAGTTTGGGAGCAGTTTAGCAGAAACAAAACAACAGAGTGTCTTCATCATTGTACAAGAAAGCAACAATAGATTTCAGAATAAATACCTTAAAGCTTGCCACACAGAATTAGTACTACTTGACTGCTTTAACCATGGGGAAATAGTTAAAGACATATTCCTCCTCCAAGTGGTTAGTTATGCTTTGTACAGAGAGAACTAATCCCATACAGACAAGGCACCTAGTAAAATAAGCCATCTCGACTGAAATGTTAAATGTACATTAAGTGTACGTAGACCAAGCCTTAGTACTCCACATGGCATAAATGCTACATCACACCTATTTTGCATCCCTTGTTCTTAGTAGTTTTAAATAACAAACTTATTTGATTTCAAGATGGAATTTGATACATGTATTAAAAGGGGTTCTAATACATTGTTGGCTGCATCAGTAAGTGACTTGACGAGCCAGGTCCCTTCCAGTACTGTGAAATTAGTGTGTTCCCATGAAGAAAACTAGTGTAGTGTAAGCAGCATTCTAGTCATTCCAGCTAGTTACAAAGAAAATGAAACCATTACATTCCAAAGTTAGACCAAGCTACAACGTTCAGACTCACGAGGCAGATGAACGCTCAAAACTCTTGAGGAAAAACTGAAAAAAAAAAAAAAAGATGGCTTCAAAGACCATTAGAAAGTGAAACCTTCACTTCACCTGAAAGTTTACTTGGCATTGCTTATTCTGGAAGGCCTACCCCTACTTTGATTGTTGGTCTACAGCAGGGACGGGCAAAATGCAACCCCAGGGGCCTGCCAGGCCATTCTGTCCAGCCCACGGGGCTCCTAAAAAAATTTATAAAATTAATATTTATCTGCCCTGGGCTGCCTGTCATGCGGCCCTCGGTGGCTTGCAGAAACTCAGTAAGTGGCCCTCTGCCCAAAATAATCACCCGCCCCTGGTCTACAGGCTTGATCCCAGTTCCCATTAAATACCATCTTTACCCAATCCAAATTTATAAGTGTTATGATTTTCCATGTATAGAATCTAATTATTGGAAAGTCATCTTAAATTTGTCTCCTCCCCCTCCACTGCTGCAGTGGGACAGTTGGTAAGAGGGGGCAAGCAGCAGATGAGCCAAGTGACTTGCCCCTCTGATGCCTGCCCTCCTCGCAGTGCTGTGCCCTTGGTGCCTGCGCCCCCACCTGGACTACATGCTGGTGGTTGCACCAGCAGCTGCTCTGGATTGGGGCTGCCACTACTGCCTAGCTAAAGTGACCATGTGCTCCATGCCCCAGTACAGAGGTGGGGACAGAGCTGGAACCTTGACACAGGATGAACAGTAGTGGCATGGAAGGTGGACAGCAGAGACTGTAGGGTGCAGCTGTAACTCCAGGACCTGGGTTTACCGCCAGTCACGGTAGCCACTACCCCCACTTTCCCCTAATGCTTGTACTCAAATCTGAGATGAGGGGGTCTTTATTTCCTCCAATCCAGGGGGATGGGAGAAGACATCTTATCTTGGATTAAAACTACTACTTGGTAGTTCTCTGCAGCAGAATTTAGGTTGAGCTTTTAAAGAGGAAAAAATGGGTAACTACCTTTGATGTACATTATGGTTGGGGAACTGGAAGGCAAGGGGAGAAGAGCTACCTCAAATGCATTGAACCTCAGGGTTGGAAAGGAGCAGTAGGAGAGGAAGATGCAGAAAGAGCACTGCTGTGAATTTAAAAATCTGCAGTGGAAGCTCACCCACTTATGTTCCCAAAGCTGTAAGTTGCTGGCTGCTCTTCCTCAGGAGATGCACTAATACAGTCACCTTTTAGTGCTGCTGCTTTAACGGAAAAGGGTTGCAGGCTTGAACACAAGCTCCTTTTCCCCACTTCCCAAATTTTCATAAGACCTTCAAAATGTTTTCTGCACAGCTTACCCAATGTGAAGGAAGTGAGATTAGATTTCTCATTCAAGTATGTTGGGCTGCCTTTTGACTCACCACCACAGCCTTTCCTTCTTACTGGAAACCATTCAAAGTGATTGACAACGTTTTTAAAATACCATTTTTATGTTTACCTGCCACAAGCTTATAATATATATCAGGCATCTTTCTTTTGGCACTACATTTTTTGAAATCATGAATAAGTTGTTACATAGTGGGGAAAGGAAATAAAACAGTAAAAAAAAATGTTTTTATTTATTTGATACCACATTTAGAAAATTTCTAACAGTCGAATAAGAAAAGAGGAGGAAGATGAAGAAGAGGAAGATGATGATGACGATGATGAAGAGGAGGAGGAACTAGAAGCTACCAAGGAAGAGAGATAACTGATAATTGTTTTAAAGGTGCTTTTTAAATTACAAGAAAAGCTTTTCATTTAAGGCTTTTATATATTAGATGGTAATTCACTGACACTATCCATTAAAAGAATCCTAACAAAGGAGGAAGACAGCCGCAGTAACATTCAGTCCTTTGAATGATTGTCTATTTGTTACTTTGACAGTCAGTCAGTCTTGTGGAGGTATGAAACACTTCAGAAAATGGAGGTCTTAGACATAAAGTAGTTTAATTCTCCAAAAAGCTTCCCTAAAAATTATGTATACAAATCTAGTATCGACTTCAAGGTATTCAACAAAAATGCTACTGATGTATTTAAATATTTTCTAGGCAGATGGGCAGTCCTGAATACAGGAGGCTTTATTCCTAGGCCTAGCCAGCCTGTGTGTGTCATTGTATTTGCATAGTGCCTTATTCCCATCATATCTGTCCTTTAGAGCCAAGGTCTTATTCAGCTAACTCAAACCATTGCCCCTGGTTGTAGACAACTCCAAGAAACTACTTCCTTGAAGTAACTGAACACATTCCCTTTCTCTGCCTGAGCCTGATACTAGAATGGAATGGTATTTACCTGTAAAAGAGTTTTCAGGGCATGCGTGCACCCTGATTGTTACTACTCTAAAACGTGCAAATGTCTTAAATCAAAAATCTTACCCATGCTCTCTGCCTTTTTGGTGGAAGTGCCTTCATAACAGCCATTTAAGTTGGGTCTTTACTTGAAATTCATTTTTTGTGCTTGCTTTTTATACTAGTTTATTCATTTCCTAGTTTTTATAAACTACAAATACAGGACTTCAGTATGATTTCATATTTATCTTCTCAAACTGTCCTGAATAAATATATCAGTATTGTATGGAGTTAAGTTTTGTCTGCCAAAAAATTGTTTCAGTATTTAATTGAGCTTGAACTTTTGTATTACTAGTCTTAATTGAATATATTGAGACCATACCACATGTATCTACACGATGCAAAAAATAAAAGATTTTAAATGGAACTCCTATTTATCCATTAGAACTTAAACAACATCCAAATTTCATTATTTACTTACCAACTCACCGAATTAAAATATATTAACTAGACACTAAATATTGTAAAATGTTACCGTAATTTTCTTTTGGGTACAGAATAGAAGATTTATATTATGATGATGTTATTTCCTTTTTTCGGTAAAAGCAGCAATGCATGTTTGTTTTGAAGGGAGAGACAAAGCCTTAGCAGAAAGTAACACAGGGAAAAGAAAGTTAATTTTAAAACACATTGCAATTCAGAAAAAATATATTTGAATGGACCATATAAAGTAGTTTTAAAAATGTCAGCCTAAGACAAGATAAACAGGAAAAAATACAGGGATAGCTGACAAGGAGAGAAAGAATAAATCTGTGTAAAGGTTTCAGAATTAACAGGACCTAAAACAAAGAAAAAAAGTCACATAATGTAGCTCCCAAATAGACAATACAAGCAGTCCTCAGACTTACGATGCAATTGGTTACTGAAAACCACATCTTAAGTCGAAACATCGTAACTTGGAACCAATTTTCACATACAAGCAATGTTATAAATGGGGGATTGGTCTCTTTATGCGCTTGATACAGCTGTGTCCAGCTGGTAAGTCTGGTGTGGTGGAAAGGGAGGAGGAAGGGAAGGGATGTGGGGGAGCAGATCAAGGCCCACATGGTGAGGGAGGGGCTGGGGGGCAAGTTGTTATCTGGCAGCTCCTGCTGCTTATCCAGGAGGGAATGGAGGGGAAGGGGGTGCCCCCGGATCTGCATGGGACAGGTCAGGTGGGGCTGGGACTGCACATGGAAGGGGTACTATGCTTTCTCAGACCCACCCCCCAATGAGCACAGCCCCATCCTGTGCTTATCCCACCACAGCTGGGCAAGCAGCAGGACAGCACAGCCCCCACTCCCAGTACAGCCCCAGCCTCGCTCCGATCCAGGGGCACATGCCCTCCTGGATGAAAGGCAGGAGTTGCCAGATAAGCAACTTGCCCTAGCCCCACCCTCACTGCAGGGGGCCTTGATATGCCCCTTTCCCATCCCTTCTGCCACACCAGACTTACCAGCTGGACGCAGCTGTATTCAGTGTTGCAAAATCAAAACCCACATTGGAAGGTCAAAACAGGGTGTCAACTTATAAATGTCTTAAGTGCCGTTTGTTGCAACTTGAGAAGTCGTAAGCTGAGGACTGCCTGTAAAACAGTTGTCCCACTAATAAACGTTTGCTAGAGATAGTGATGAAACCAGCAGTATGCTGAAAGGCAAAACAACAACAAAAAAACCTCTATAGTTTTGTACCAGCTGGGGAAGCCAGAAATTTAAGATACAAACACAACAACATCCATTATATATAGGTGAAGCATGTTTTTTTCTATTTTAAACAGTCCAGGTCAACACTTAGTATCTTTAAACTGAACACCACTCTTCATAATCCCTGTAATAACCTGGACACAAAGTCTCTCTGAAAAATTAGCCATTTATTTTTCTTTAAGAGGGTATATTAAAGAACATGTCAATGAATTCTGACTTTTAAACAAGTAACAAGTGTACTACTGTAGATACTCACATAGAAAACTTTTTCATCTGGTCCAGATTGAAGAAAATCATCAAGTATTTACAATGCAACACATATAGAGCTTCTTAGTATTAGATTAGACACTTAACTGTTACAATTCTGGCTGGACACTGTCACTTAGATTTGGCAATCAGTTTCCATTCAGATGACAATTCTTTGTAGAAGCAGTTTCATAATTTACTCTAAAGCATGCCAGGTTTCTCTAATGCATGTCTTTTAAACAGCAAGGAGATGAAGCATTTTACATTTCTTTTGAAATACCATAAATTGGCATGGAGTCTTAGAAACCAGGATACTAGCAAAACTACTTTCAGTTAGATGCCTAAATGAGGTAACACTTAAAGTGTTTTCATAAGTGTGTTAAGTAGTAGTTGAAAACTTTATATTTAAGTTTCTCCTGTCTTAGGTTCTCCAGATTAAAGTACAGCACAACCATTTCTGTCCTATGATGAGGACCTGCTTTCCAAGCTTTTGTATGAGTGGGGTGATAGCATGCTACGTGAAAGGAACACATTTGCATTTACATTCTTTATCTTAGAAAGTAAGAGCTAATGCTTGATTTACTTCTTCCTCCATTGAAAAGTGTGTGTGGAAGTTAAACATATTCAAAATACAAACTCAGCTGCATAAATTTCCTTACACATTATCACTTAAGAAAAAATGGGGATGTCAGCAATGAGTCTACAAGCTTCTGCTTTTGACTGATGAACACTTTTCCTATAGTAGTTTGGTGTTACATTGCTTTAAGAACTGTTGATATAAGTTTATGTTCTTATAAGTAGGTAACATTCAATAAATTGTCCACTATAAACAGTTTACTCCAATCCCAACATTCAAATTGATACATGTATTTATTTCATCACTAAGTTTCATGCTGACCCATAAAGCAGCTTTCACTGCGTCTTTCATGCTTCTGTGGTGCTTAGTCTTCAGCTTGGGAAATGCTGCATATAAGCCTTTTTCCCTCCCAACCAACAAGCTAGGTCATAAGTCTACCGTAACCCTCATCTTTGTCAGCAGCCCTCTTTGCTATTGATGTTTCTGGTAATCATCTTCCCTACAATGCAACTACTTTAACATTTCTTCATTGATAAAATACTAACCTTCATTTCAGGACCATAGAAAGCCACCACAAATTCACTGTCCATGGAGCAGAGTAAAAAAAACCCAAAAAACAAAAAACCTCAGATAAAAGCTCTTTCCTCTCTAGTACAGTGTTTCTGAAAAGTCAATGTGGAACCTACCTGGAATGCTACTTTAGGAGACTTCAGTACATGCTAAGAGCAGGGCCATGGAATCAGTCACAGAAACCTGATTTTAAAAACAGCAATCACCAAGTCCCACCACCAAGGGTACTGTTTGAAATTTAGTAAGATATTACCCCCACTGTAATGCACAAATTTCTCATGAGGTTTTCAACAATATAAAACAGTAGATAAAAATATAGGATAGACTTTAAAGTGGAAATAGCTCTAGTCAGTTTCTGGTAACCGGTCCATCATGTCAGCTGTAGATATGGCCATAGAGAGAGAGCGAGCCCCTACCTTGGTACGCTCCAAGTGCAGAGGGTAGCAGGCATTTTCTTCACTGAACCTGCCCTGGGTTTCACGGATTTGACTTTGGGGCCTCATGGGATCCTTGAGAAATGGAGAGATGGCACAGCTGAACTGCAGAGCTGCGCAAGTGAGGAAGTGGGGACCAAGTGCCTCAGCCAGTGCCCACTGCTCCCAGATGAGCCCAGGCATGCTCATTTCTGCTTTGTAAAATGCTGGTCCTTGCTTGTCAGGAAGCCTGCTGGCACTGGAGGTCACAGCTCATCCAGCGTGCTGGGAGGTCAGTGACCCGATCCACAGCTGAGGGAATCAGCACTGGAGTGTTGAGAGGTGTTGCTTTGTCCCAAATTAATGCAGCAGGGGCAGGAGTGGCAGTTACTGCTGCCTTAACTGTTGACCTTCCAGATAAAGACTTGTACCCTGGGACAGTATCTCTCAAACTGGGTAGGCACTCTCACACCCCACCATGGGTCCCACCCCCTCCACCTGCTGTGATGCAGCTCACCACAGCACATCCCCCTTCTCTGTCCCACCCTGTGCATTTCTCTATACATCTTCCACAACACCCGAGCTGCCTGCTGTGCCTCCAGCCCTCCCAATCTCTGCAAAGGTTGGCCCAAAACAGACCATATGATGCAGGGGACCTGGGGCTTGTGCCCCTCCTCATCCTCTCCATTTACACCAGTGGGACCTTCCATCAGGCCAAGCTGCAGCATCCCTACTACTACAGTGACTTCCCGTCTAGCCTGCATAGCATCTCCTGGAAACGAGTTTCCTGGAACAGTTCCACCTGGCAGCAGCACTATATCACCCTCAAAAAGGTCTTGCAGCACCCCGCCTGAGAACCACAAGCATAAGCAAGATAATTAGACAATTGATTTTTGCTCTTTAAATATCCCTAAATCCCAATACTAGATTCAAGTATGGATAAGAAACATTAAGATGACCCAACCTTAAAATGATTTCTGAATCTAGAAGCTCAGCAGCAAACATATGGCTCCCATATTTGTTTCCCATGACCAACTTAAGTGAACTTGAGATGGGTAAGTGTAAAAAAGTTTAAACAAGTAATCCAAAAAGTCAGTTGCAAATTATTTTATTAAAAAGTTGTAAAGCTGGCTAACTTGAACACGAAACTACTTGAGGTACCTGTGACCACAGGAAAACAAAGAAGACTAACAGTGTGCACATAAGGAATTTGTTCATCTTTACAGTTTATCTATCCTAAATATGTAGGTTTGATAAAAACCCAAGGTAATTTGTTAATGAAGATGACATTAGTTATCCAATTTGAATGGTCTCTTATGTCAGTTAGCCAGCACTTATATTTTCATAAGATATAAAGAATCATGGGACCGTGAAATGAAAGCACACTAAAAATCTTCAAAAGCATTACAGCTCCAAGATTTTATCTTGGTATTAAAAGTCAATCAACAGTTCAGTAAGATTACTAGGCTCTCCCCCACCACAAAAGGAAGTTAGCCTAATACAGTGCTAAGATATCTTACCTTACAAACATCAATTTGAACCAAAAACTATAAATGGAAAACTGAACCTGACACTATTTACAACTTCCTTTTTTTATGGAAATAGTTTCTTCTGCTTCTTCCAATAACAGAATTGTCAGTAAGAATCCATCAATACTGTGAAGTCTAGGTTTTTTCATTTTAGAGGCAATTAACCTTTAGAGTAAACTGAGCCTAACTTTGCGTGGGCCAATTGGTCTATCATTTAGTTCCTTAATAGCCGCCATTGCTTCCTCATAATTTGTCATGGCAACAATGGCATCACCTGAAGGTAATCCTTGTTCATTATACTGTATAGTAACAGACTCTGGAATGACTCTGTAGCCATAGAAGAAATCCAAAATTTCATTAGGGGTGGCTTTAAAAGGTAAATTCTTTAACTGGATAGGTACTCCATGATCAGAACCACCACCAAAGCTTGGATCAAACATAAATCTTCCCTCTGGATAGCCCCCCATGTTCCTGTTTCCAAATTCCATTCTCCCAAAGTGTTTGCCATCACCACCATAGTCCATGAAATGTTGGGGACCTCTAAAATCCTCAGGGGGACACATGAAATCGTCAGGCGGGCGTCTAAAATCAGGACCCTGCCTAAAGCTCCCAGGAGGACCAAACGAATGCTGAGGTGGTCCTTGTGGTGGTCCAGATGATGAGCCAACTGGACGAGAATGCTCATTTCTGTCATACGCCTGTGAATGACCATGCACCTTTTCACCTGGTGCTGATGTTGGAATAGTTATACCAAATTCCTGCATCTGTTCTTCAGATATACGTCTTAGTAACACTTCTGTTCCCAAGAATCTTCGCCGATTTAAACTTTCTGCTTTCATTGCCTGTTCTTCAGATTTAAACTTCACTAATGCTTCCCCCAGCCCAACTCCCTTGTCATCGTAGAGCAAGTAAATATCATCTTCATCAATAGCAAATCCTGCGAAGAACTTCTGCACTTCAACTTTTGTCACATCAAATGGAAAATTTCTTATATAGATGCACATTTTAGGGCCAGCATGCCCCTCTCGGTAACCTTTTTCCAGTACAGTCTGCCCAGGCCGATCTCTTTCTTGTGATCTTTTCTTTTCGTAAGATTCAATTAGTTTCAACATCGATCTTTTAGAAATAGGAAAGATGTACACAGCGCGGTTGAAAAGAACCATCCTGTGAAATCCCAAAGCTGCTTGATAATCTCTTTCACTCTTCAACATCACAAGAGCATCTCTAGTTCTCCTTTGATATTTGTCTGTTAAAAACTTGATTTGGTTACTACATATATCCAGCTCTCCGAAGAAAGCTCTCAAATCTCTCTTCTCAAGATTTGTAGACAGATTTCTTAAGTGTATCCAATAATCCTGGCTATGAGGCGAATGTGACCGTGACCGTGTTCGTGTTCTTTGTCTCCTTGGAGGAGATCTCGAATGAGAATGCTTCCTTGAATATATATAGTTTGAACTTCTCACTGGAGAATGCTCTTTACTTAAAAAGGGATCCATTTCCATTTCCATCTCAATCTCATTCTTCATGCTAGCTCTATCACAGTATTTGATCCATTGCTCTGGGGCTGGACTTATTTCTATAAATCTTGAGCCAATGTATTGTTTATTACGTTTAAGTCCTTCCAAGGCATCCTTAGGTGTAGCAAATTTTACTACACTATTTCCGTTATTCAAACCATTGCGACGCTTTATGAAGATCACTTCATCCACTCGTAACCCAGAAAAGAAAACACGTACTTCATCTTCAGTTGCAAAGTAAGGTAAACCTCGTAGAAATAAATACAGGTTACCTGAATGCAACTCTTTCCTTGACTGGTTATAGTTTGCTACACTTGAATCACCATGCCTTGTACCATTGCTATGGAAGCCAGCATCTGTATGATTTGATGGACTTTTACTCATTCCTTTTGTAATAGCTGCAACTAAATGTGAAATGTTGCCGACACTTGAGGCACCAGAATTACTAAGACTTGTTCGTCTAGACCCAGATGTGGTTTCTCTTCTTCCACGATCAAATCTTTTCCTGCTCATTTCTATAGTATTCTGCATTTCTGTTTTGCTGCTGAGAAACAGTTCTATGCGGGAGTCCTTGATAAAGCTTCCTGAACAGCTCATGGCACGTCGTGCATCTTCATCTGTTGCAAAAATAATAAAAGCCTCCCCGGTTTCTCCTCCAATAATATGCACTCCTCCATCAGGAATATTCAATCCCAAGAAGAAACGGCGAATATCTGCAGGGCCCGCAACAACAGGAAGCCCCTGTAAACGGATGACTACAGCCATGCTGCGCTCAACTCACAGCAAAATCACCTGCAGACAAAAAGGTACACATGATAGCAAGTCTTTAGTACTCATCTATCACAGTATCTAAGCTCTTAAACTAACACCTTTTTAATGAAAATCCATGATTCAATCAAGCTTTATGAAATCAAGCAAGAAGCTCACAAGTTCACCACAATCATTGAATCCTGTTTTAATCTTGAAGTAGATTTAGTCAAAACCATTAGCTATTCCACCTGGAAGTATGCACAATCTGTCAATATTCCCTATCTAAAGGCAACAAGATCCACCTGAGTCAACTCCTCACCATCCACGATAAATAAGGACCATCTCAAGTCTTTCTTGGCATGGCTGCTCCTTGTCAGAGATACTAAGAACCAAAGTCTCCTCTTTTCATTAGAGGCACTTGCTATCACAGCACTTAAAAATCTGAAAATAAAAGATATGGGGAAAAAAGAAGAAAAAAACCCCTACGTCACCAAAAAAAAGCATTTCAGTGACTGTAACGAATGTTATGCTCTCAGACACGTTGTCTACCAACTAACCAGTTCTGCTTACAAATGCGTACATATAACAAACAATACAACAACGTTGTCTCTCTTCTTGCAGCAGCCAAATGCATTCAGGAAAGCACTTCCTATTTCCCAGTCATAAAGTCTGTGAGAAATGGCTTTGCGTGGTCTTTTGACAATATTCAGCGAAAAATGTTAGCCTTTAGGCAGCTTACCTGGTTCTGCTTGGAAGACCTGATAAATTCTGTAAAATCAACTTAACTGTGGAAAGAAAATGAGACATAATTAATGGCTGATATCACATCTGGTTAAAATACTGTGCCACATTGCTATTGTACATCCATATCAATGGCTAATATTAACAGCCAAGCACTGTAATGAAACCACGATTTGGGTTGTTATGGAGAGGATTCCTTCCTTGTTCCAAGAGAAATACAAGTCAGACAATGTAATTCAGCAAAATGTTATGCCTTGCACTTTTGCCTGTGAATCCATTTAGAAGTAAAATATTCAAAGGTAAAGTTGCTTCTGCAAATGATGAAAACATGCCAAGATTAATGGGTCATCAATTGTGCCACACTGAACTGTTCACAGGAAACAATGGCCAATAAGGTAAAAGGAAAAACCTCTTCATTTAGTCCTTGAAAGATGCATAAGTCCCACTGAAGATTACATTAAACGTCCAATTCTTCTGAAATCCACCTGCTTTTGAAGTGCATGACAGAATATGTTACTCACCACCAGGGTATTCTTGAAGACACATCATGAAGAAAACCACAAGACAGAGCCAATACAATTCAACAAGCAGAAATTCCGAGGAGTACAGAAAGTTACAAATTAAACTCATTTGTATTTCCCCCCAAATATCTACTGTCCTTCAGTCACAGAACCAAAAACACTACTTTGAGAAGCTCAGACTTATCCTGATCTTTAAACAATTCCTATAGCATGAAAGCCATATAATTCATAGCATATTCCCCTACAGAAACAAGGTAAACCTATGCATGGAATTACTATCATATCATTAGCAATAATAAACTCTGGCTGATAACTGTTTAAGCATACTGCAACATTATGCAGGAACAAGTGCGACAGACCAGGGAAGAGACAGATCTGCACAGCCACCTCATAACCACAATAGCCCATTGCTTCACCTGAATTAGCACAAGAAATAAAACCAAAAATGTTTCTGTAACTGGCAAACCCAGTACCGTTTCTAAATTTGCTACATCCTTGTTTTGGAAAAACAGCTACAAGCCCAGACAACTGCATGTTTGAAAGTCACAGTTCTAGATAAAGAGCTTCCCACCTCTGTACAGCTATCTTCTCAATCAGTAAAATGGCAATGCCAACATGCAAAGGAAGGATTCAACAGTAAAGCCAATTTTCCCAACAAACCTTCAACTCAAAATCAAATCCATATGCCTGCATTTCATGTGGTGGTCTGTTGTATGTCAGCAGTTTTCTACTTCCCTTCTGCATTCCCATACCAATTACTACCCAATATTCTGTCTTCACCCCAGAATCAGCGATGTTTCTGTGGCGATAACTATCAAGATCTCCGCAATACATCACAGGCCTAACATACAACTACTATTCTTTAAACCAGACATCAAAGATCACAACAGTAGTGAAACTGAAATTGTCTCACACACAAACAGAGAGCCAAGTTTAGCCAATGAACTTCCACTAGCCGTCCATCCACACAACCAGCAGCTGCAAGTGCATGCAAGGCATCACATGCTTTAAATGAATGACCCAACAAAGCTACAGGTAGTTCAGAAAGCTTTTTTCTTTAAATACCTATGAACATATCAACACTTGAGCAAAGCCTTCAAAGCAGGAGTCTGAGAGAGACGGAGCAGGAAGGGTTTTGTGAAACCCCAGGTAGCCACCGGCTCAAAGCCTAAAACCTTGTGTAGCTCAAGCTCCATTTCTGATCCCACTTCACAACGCAGGCAGCGATCTCCTGGCACGGGAACGGGGCCCGGCCCGTAGTGCCACAGCCGGGCCGCCCATCCTCCTTTCTGCAGCAAGCCGCCGGGATGGAGCCCCACACAGGAGCCAGCGGGGGACGCAGCGAAGCACCAGCTCCCGGGGCTGGTGTGAGAAGTGGCCGACGCCGAAGCAGGAGGTCCGCTTCCCGCAGCGCGACGGCCGCGCGCTCCTGCTGCCCGAGGCTCCGGGCTCCCGTGCGCCGCCACAGGGCTCCCGCCGCCCCCGTCCTCCGCTCCTCGGCCCGCCCGGCGGCGCATCCCGTGTTCCCGCCCGGGCCGAGAACCGGCGCTGGGGCCAGAGGGGAGAACAGGCCGTTCCCGCCCTCCCCCGCTTCAGGCCCTCTGCAAGCGTGGGGCGACCACCCGCCGAGGAACCCCGCCCCGCCCCGCTCCGACCCAGCAGGCGACACGGGCCAGCGCGAGCAGCCGGCTTCCGCCACCGTACACACCAGTGCCCACTACACAGGCGCGAGGAACCGTCCCGTCGCTCTGCGCCCGAGCCAGGCAGCGACAAGATGGCGCCGCCAGACACCTAGTCGTACCGCGCAGG